GTACTTCTATATACAGGATGAAAGTACTTTTTTTCACAACTCATTAAGACATGCAAAATAAGTGGGATTCACAACATATTGTACTAAATACAAATTATTGATACTACAGGTGTTTATATCTTAGCATGTCTTTTCTTGTTCTGTTATTCAATATGGAAGTATGTTATGCCTCATCAAATCATACATTGAGTAATGAAAACATTTTATCAAGTTTAAGGTCCAAAAACTATTGACCAGTGACAGGGGTTGAGGTCAAACACTTGAGTCACAAAAATGTGTTGAAGTCAATTTTTGTTCAATTAATCAAACACAGTGAATAAAATATGGTGCTAATATTGTACGTATATGCTGTGAAGAAATAGTAAATGAAAACTTGAACTCCAGCATTTAGCTTACTTTGAAAAACATGTGTTTGCTTTTACATATAACTTTTAACTATCTTTATGCAGAAAATATTCTTTGTTTGCTTTGCTTATATAATTTACTTTGTGTGCTTGATTTCAATGGTAGGATCATTCCAAACAGACCAGCATCTGAATAGGTGTGATGAAAGAGCACATCAACCAGGAATCAAATAGCACTTTCTGACCTGCAGATGTGTTTCATACCCAAGTTGATTTGGGGGTATTTTTGTGTAAATTAAGATTTTCTAGTTAATCAATGATTTCCAGACAATTATTTGGGGTCTGCATAATGTTTGAAATGATCAAGAATGATTGAAATCAATCACCCTCATAGTTTGTAGTGTAATCACCATTCCTTGATATATGCAGACATCATGACTTATCTGCTTAGCTTAATCTCCTGCTGAAACTCTAACAGAACTGGTATATGCATTTGTTTGTAGATTAAGAATCAGTCTTTAAAATATACATATTTTTGTTATCTTGTCTTTTTAATATATTTGTCAGATAGAGTTTTGAAATTTTTTGTCAGTTTGAGTTTGAAATGAAGTTTGGATACTTAGAAGCTATTGGGGAAAGATCCTCAACTAATGCTTGAAATTATGAACTTTTTAGATTCTTTTTTAACGAGGTAGAAGAAATATTTCAAAGAATTTGTGTGACTATTTTCTTAGCTTTTAATTTTTAACATGGTGTTGATGTGTATAACTGTCTTGAATAAAACTGGTTTAAAACAGCTGGAATTCGTGAAATGTCTGTACCTGATGCATGTCATTGTCTTCTAGACCTCTACAATGATAAAATTGCATGTGTAACATAAACTCTGGGTTTAAACCCACAAGCTGGAAATGATACTGCAACTCAAGATTTGATCCATAATGTTGAATATACTCAAAGAAAATAATGGCTACCGGGTATAAATACACTTTCTTTTATTGGTTGACCTTGAACTGCTGTCAATATTATTTCTTCTCTATTGTGTAGATATCTGAATTACGCGATGATATCAGTAATTAAAAGAAAACTTATTTTAAAGTTTATGATCTATCCAGACATTAAAATCAACAGAACAGGGACTTGGTATAATACAATGTCCAGGTGGCGTTAAGTACCAGATTCAAGTGTCCCTGAAACCACAGCCAAACAATAAGTTATGCATTGTGACACAACTGTGACACAAGACAGAAAATTTCAATATTCACATTTATTATGCTGTTATTGATATTTACATTTTCTGTTGTCTATATGCTCATCATTTTCAATTGTAACATCTGGTGCATATTTTGAGAGAAAAGAATGCAAATTACTTGCATATATTCATGTTCATAACTTAAGTAGTCTGTTTTGGTAAATTTTAGGGTTCATGGAAATTACTGTTGAAGTCAGCTGAATGGGCGGATGTGTTTTTTTTAAAAAGAATAGGATCGAAGAACTTGAAGTACTGAAGGCCTTATTTCAAGAATTAAAGAATTGCAACAGGACATTAAAATATAACGTTATATTTGAATTATATCCTGACAATCTTGAGTATACTTCTCTACAGCTGTGCGCAACGGTATGTGTTTGAGTGCAAAAATACCCAACGTCCTTAAAGCCTGCCAATTTGAAGTATGTGGAGGGGGCATTGTCTTAAAACGTTAAATTTTTATAAGTGGACTATTCAAATCGCCCTGCGTTTGTGGCCCATTGTCTATCCGTTCGCCTGTAAACAACTTTTGTTATTACTATTTCTTGAGGAATACTGAATGGATCTTTCTCAAATTGCATATTTAGATTCCCCTTGGTCCCTTGTTGTGTCCGTTAGACTATGGGACTGATAAAAAATATGGCCGACAGGCGGCCATCTTGAATGTTTTTATTGAAGTTTGTATATGCTATGTCTTGAAAAGTACTGTATAAATCTTTCTCAAATTTCACGTATAGATTCCTTTTGGTCCCTAGGTGTGCCCATGTAATTTTGGGACTGATCAGTAGTACAAATTGGCTGGCAGGTGGCCATCTTGGATTTTGACTTTTGAAAGTTTGTTATCGAAATTTCTCCAGAACTACTGAATGGATCTTTATTAAATTTGATGTAGATTTCCCTTGGTCCCTTTTTGTGCCTATTTGATTTTGGGTTCTGATCAGAAAAACAAAACGGCCAAAAGATGGCAATCTTTGATTTTGACGTCGAAAGTTTGTTCTTGTTTTTTTTTAGAGAACTACTGTATACATCTTTCTCAAATTTTATGTTTAGGTTCCTTTTGGTACCTAGTTTTGCCTGCTTGAGTTTGGGACTGATCAGAAAAACAAAATGGCTGACAGCCAGCAATCTTCGATTTTTTCAATGAAAATTGATGGTAGTGGACTGGTATCCTTGATTTAAATAACTATTTTACATTTTTCCTTGAAGCGTGACATGTTACAGCAATCAAAATTGTCAGGGTGCGATGTCAAGCAGGTTAATAGTACATGTGATACGGCTCGAAAAAATGGCCGTTCCGAAAAACATAACGATTTGGAACAGTGTCCAGACGGTACACTCCCTATTTCGTCATTATGCCGAACCCCCACCCCCCACATATAAGCCGCACGCCGGACGGCCGAGGAAAAAACAGCGGCTATTGGTTATTGTAAAGAAAATGCGGAATTTGATGTGTAAATTGTCTATTTTAATGAGTTTTTGTTACGCAAAACCAACATCAGGATGCAATTATGTACACTTATTATATCAGTGGATATTCAATTGTAGAACAGTGATTAAGTCTGAATAAACAAAGTAACGAACTTTCAGAACACATTATTTACAAGTGAATCAATGAAACATGTATATTTCAATGTCTGTTTACTTATTGATGAATAAACAATTTTGATCAAGTATCTAAAAATGGCAACGAATAAATGTACATTCTCATTCTTATTAAATATATAATTGAAACAAGTGACTTATCAAATCACTGAAAGAAGAGTAGATAGTTTATGTTATTTTCAGTACTATAATATAAAGCCTGGTCATATGATTCACCGTTCCCTTTACCATGTAAATGGTTCAACGCTCCATGTTGGTTTGTGAGATTCTCAGGAAGCTGAGGAACGCACCGGGTTTTGTAGAAGACACTTTACAGTTGCTCTGAATGGCATGCAGTGGGCCTCCCAAGCTCTTGTTCATCAGTGAGGAAGCTCCAGCTTGCTTACAAGAATTTCCTACCCCAAAGTGATCCTGTTAGTTGAATAAGCGATACATCCATAAAGGAAATAAAAAATTAAAATAATAATAATTGAACACCAAAATGATTAAAACAAATAGTATTTAGTATGATACTTATTTAGCAGAACGATGATTCAGTGCAATGTGATGGTGAGATATTTATATTTTACCCAAATCGGACATGCCCCGAAGCTGATCTCACATCGTTTCCATAATTTGTGAATTTAAGTACACATTGGTACATTCTCATGTTATTTATCCTTCATTTCATGCATTAAGCCAATGACAAAATGAAAAGATAACACCTTAATTTAACATTTTTGGAGTAAAAGTATGAAAAATAAAGCGTCAGAACGCGGAAATAAACAAGATATCGTGTTTACAAAGAAAAGACAGGTATCGTATTGTTTTATAGTTAAAGGCAGGTAGGGAATTTACTTTGGGGTAACACGAATAAAAAAGGAAAAAGAGATCCATTAGGAACCATGACAAGCACCCTTGTTGGATTTTATTTGTTTTTCGTTCCTTTCTCTTACTCGGTTATTCCTAATTATCATATAGAGTTGAAAGTGTATTCCCTTCTGTATATAGCGATAATAATCTTTAATTTCTTAATTCAAGATTGTTGCCTTGCGGCCATTTTGGTGTACTGATCAGTCCCAAAATTAAAATGACCCAACAAATGACTAAGAGGGGCCTAAAAACAAAATTTGAGAAAGAACCATTCAGTTTTTCTTGAAAAAATAATAACACTCTTTTATTGTCAAAATCCATGATGACCACCCGTCAGCCACTTCGTTTATCTGACCAAGCGTAATAACATGAACACAAAGGAATAAGGGAAACCTATATACTAGAATCAAATCTGGGAAAGATTGATAAAGTATTTTGAAGAAATGGGGATAACAACGGACCAACGGGTACCTACATATGAAAGATCTATACACCACTTCTCCAAATATAAAGGTAACAAGTTATGACTATCCGAAACCATACACCCATAGCATTTCAAGAAATAGCGATAACAAAATGTTAATATCAAAATGAAAAAAAAATCTATTTGTCTGCCATTTTTTTCTTCAGAAGAGTCCAAAAATGGGACATGTACAATTGGTAGCAAAGGACCAAACGAAATTTACATATAGAATTCCAGAATTATTCATCTGAAACTTTTCAAAATATATTGATAACATACTGCTAATGTCAAAATCTAAGTCGGTTTCGTGTCGGCCAGTTTTTTTTTTATGCACGGGGACCATGAGGCATCGTCAATACGAAATTTGAGAACGATCTATCAATACCATTTCAAGTAATAGCGAACTGGCATAATCCAAGTTGGTTCCCTGTCGGCCAGATTTTTGTTTTTGTTTTTTGTTTGTCTTTTTTCAAAAAAGTCCCAGTTTCACGGTTTAGTTAGTTTTTATTTTATCTAACACTCTTTTGTTAAGTTGACCAAAAATGTATCTAAGTTTGTGAAACAAGAAAGCTGTGAAATAAACAACTGCCCCAAACATCATTCCCACCACCAGCAGTATGTCCAGAAGGTAGTACTGGTACCATGGCATGTCTGATGAGTACGAGTGGACAAACTTATCTCCATATCGGATAATATGATCTATCCAATAGGAAGCCCGCTGTAGTGGAGTATCAGATCGACTATGGAATACCTGCGAAGCGTTCCTTATATTGTATTGGAAGTTTTTCTGGGTAATAACCGTTTCTAAAGCTACTTCGATATCGTTGACAGTAAACGAGCAGAAATTTAGTACAAATCCATAACCTTTCTCTTTCATACGTTCACAGTTGTAGTATTGGTCATGACAAAGCGGAAATCCTATCATTGGAACGCCATGATACAAAGCTTCAAATTGACTGTGTTTTCCACAATGTGTCATGAAGGCGATTATCTTTGGGTGACCTAATAGGTCATTCTGTGGTATCCACGGTGAAACCATGACATTGTCCTCTCTGTACTCTGAAACGCTATGTTTTATGATAAAATGTATTTCAGGGCGTCTTTTGAAAGCTCTTATGAAAGTGTTTATACGTTCGTTTGGGAAACCATTGAACCCAGCTCCTAATGACACGATTACAGCACCGTCGACACTGGAATCCAAGAATTCCTGAAATATTTCAGGTAAAGGTTCAGATGGCTTGGTATTCATACCTCCAACAAACGCGACATGCGGCAAGGACGGTTGGGGATAGTCGATGAGAAAATCCAACGTTATCAAATGAAAAGACGCTTTCGACATCAGTTGATTTCCAGTTATTGGTGAACCACCTGACACATACTTGGCTACATTTGTGATTGGCAACAGGTAGCTTGGCGCCAGCTCCAATACAATCGATGTAAACACACTCTGCATCCTTTCGAGGAAATCCAGTTTGTCGCCTATGACTAAACGTCGATGTGGCGATATCGATGCCGGAGAAAAAGGAATCCGCATTCTTACAGGATCATAATTAATTCCAAAATTTATATACGGCAACCCAAGCTTATAAGCAAGTGACGCAAAGCATTCTGCTATGGGCACGTTGTCCACTATAGCCAAGTCAAAGTTTCTGTTTTTGAGATGTTTCAAAAGTTCTGCTTCATTATGGAAATCATTGCAAAATGTTACTAAATCAAATAGCCCCAGAACGTTTATGATTCCAGCTTCTTTTAAAACACATATTTCTCTGGCTACTTTTGCATTTTTACCAACAAAGTCTGCCTCATCTAGAACACTTGAAATAACGATGTCGACTGCCGGACCAAACTGGAGTTTCACATCGTTGGCTACCATAGTTGTGGTGATGACTGTGGCGGTGTGGTTATACGTTTGCGTCACCGAGTCGAGTAATTGGATCAGACTACGGGTGTGGCTAATCGTTGGAAATGAGATCACCAGGATGTGTTCACTATGGACTGGATACACATATGGCATGATAAGGACACACGATGTAAAAATCTGGAGAAACATTGGCCTGTAAAATAGAATAGCAGAAATTGGATTCATGATAATGGAAACAATAATGGCTAATGTAAAAGGTTTTCCTTTTGTTGGTCCAAAGTTTTGTACTTTCATGAAATAATTGATGCAAAAACGGTGTACTTTTTTTACGGACTTCATGAAAGAGATCGTACATATATCTGTTTTATTTTCAATACGTATCTTTTCAGGATTTTCTCCAAATAACGAAAATTAGAATTCTCGAAAACTAAAATCATTGCAGAATTTTTTTCCGATCCGATTCCTTATAGATACAAGTGTTAGAATAAATAAGTCTTTAACATCAATATTAACTGAGTCCACTATGATATTGTGTGAGGACATTTAAAGTGGTTAAATAAACCTAAAAAAAAAAAAAAAACTGAATGCGATCCTCTTGGTCGCTAGAACGCTTTGATTGGATAAAAAGTGACATTGACCAACAAAATATCTTTTCAAGCTGTCTTGTGGAAGTAAACGTATACTCAAATTTTACGTAATTCAAATTAAACCAAAAAGCATATAACAGCACGTCTGGTTTATTTTTTACCTGGTTACGGGTATAAAGCTCGGAAACCTTCACCACTTTCCGTAAAAGAGAAAGTCTCTTTCATTGAAGGTGGCGTGAAACTTTATTTGCGTTACCCTGTCTATAATTGTACTGCAACTGCATTTTTTATGTACACGCTTTTGCGATGTTTGTTTCAATTTTATTATATTTGGAAGTTTATGAAATTTCCTTTAAAATGATGTATACGCAACTTGAATGAATATGTAAAATATGGGAATTCAGAACAATTTGACATATTACAGTACTTTGGAAGTTTATGAAATTTCCTTTAAAATGATGTATACGCAACTTGAATGAATATGTAAAATATGGGAATTCAGAACAATTTGACATATTACAGTACATATCTCTGCATAAGGCAAAACAAGGTATCCCTGCCTGAAAACGGGATGGAGATTTTGTTAACATCTAATTAACCAACATTACATTGTCGTTGAATTCTCGACTACCGCATATTGATCAGGTAATGGTTTATACCAGTGTACCAGGTATAAGTGTTGTTTGTGCGTATCATGAGACTTTTATCATTATAATACAACAATCTGTCAGAACATCTATGCTGTTTACATTTTGGAAATGAAACAATCTTTCCTGAACTTTCAAGTGCCGAGTTTCTGCTGAACATATTGACAGACAGACAATGTGGTTCCTTTTTTGTGAGATAAAAAGAAAAAGAAAAATGAAAATTGATCAGGATCTGTCAAAGTAACGAAGAGTTTTTTCATATTCAGGAAACATACATACTTGTCCAGCACGGAGATTTTGTTAGTTTTTTCCCACGTATCGAAAGATCGGGGCAAAGTGTTTTTGTGCTGCCTTTTTGTCTGTCTGTTTGTTTGTTAGTTGCCAAATTTAACCTTGCCTATAACCCTTGCATTGCAATTCATATTTGACATGTGTGTTCCTTGTGACATGACACCACAATGAAGACGCAACTGTTTCACCAAGTGTGCAATACAAAATGTAATGTACAATCCAAAATCGGTAACACATATTTACACTTGTATTTGTTTCTGTTTTGCCGAAATAGCAAAATGCAAATCGCCGAGATAAATTTAAATTCTATTTATTATTTACTATAATCCTGGCCTGGGTTTTTGGGCAGAGACCAACTCTGGCGCGCACTCGTCATTTATGACATAAATGAACAGTTGGCGGCTATTGTTAAAGAAAGTTGGCACATTGATGTTAATATGGAGTTATGGTATCAGACGTAACATCATCAAAAGACATTATATGTGAACATGGTCATGGTCACTCTATATCGCGAATATCTTAGAATCTGCAAATTTCGGCATAGTTATTATTCCCATTAGTAACGAGAGGACAGTTCAACTGGAAAGGGGACAGTCTACCAATTCGTCATGTCAACTTGATAAAATGGTCAATATCGTTTATGAAACAATCTTTAGAAAAATAAAGTATGTTTTCTTAAAGGTGATGTATGTGTAACTAAGTTCTGCGGTCATCAGAACATCAAAATAGCAAAATAAAGAAAATATTATGTCCAGTTTTCCCTCGTGCGTGTTACAACTCTTGTCATATAATATTGTTATGCTGTTAATGAATTGACTGGATTATCTCCCTTAGTATAACTTTTCTGTGTTCCATATTTAGCATTTTTTCCGTAATTGATCTAGCCGTGATTTAGTATGTCTGATTTTAGTATCTTGTTCCGTGTCGTATCTAACCGTGTTTTAGCAGACCCCAATCTTTAATCAAATGCGAACACGTATGCGGCACTACATGTTTCCAGTTTTTGTATTGTTTTAATTCCACGTGTATTCGTTTAGATCAGGATGTTTTTTTTTATTAATCTATCGATAGGTCGAAAGTTCACGATCTGTTCTGCAAAAAAGTTATAGAGAACCATGTTTCTAACCAATTGGAATTTTCATACACAATACCATAAAGCGTTCTCTATGAAACGAGCCAAAACATTAGGCTTAGGAAAAGCATTGTAATGTTATATATTTCTAGTGGGACTCAGGTTTCGGACAATGATATCAATTTTTTTTAGTATTTTTTAAACTGAATAGCAAGATATGTGCCATCGTGATTGGTTACAGACATGAGCTTATTAATGAATCGATATAGTATGAAAAAAGGAAAAGCCAAAAACTAACTAATTACCGTTGACACACTTGGCGACTTATATTAAATAAATGAAAAAGTACTTACCTATCCATTTAAGAATTTTCAGAAATATGACCGTGACTGATGTTTTGTATTCAAATATGAACACAGAACTGGCATGAACAGACGTCTCCTGGAGACCTTTATCTTCAAAAAGGTCACTTTCTACTAAAACTAAATAATTCATATATATGTATTTTTCAGTTGACAGCTTTATGTACCTAGAATTTAATTTTCATAACAGATGTTCTGTGAATAAAGAATGCGTGGAATGTCATTAATATTCATACTGTAAGATATTTATTTTGACAAGGAGTATGTAAATGCAGATTTAGATAATATTTTTGTATAAATTTAAACTACAATTATGGATAGCACACATGTTTGGCATTAAATAGTCAGTGAGATATACAAATAACAATTCTTGTAACTTATAACACCAATAAGGTTTAATACCACAAATAAGTCACTTGCACAATAACACATGCTTTTACCACGGCAGGGTGGAAACAGGAGGGAGAACAATAAGCATGGTGTGCATGGAGTTAGTTCCGGTCCAGGGGTTCCGGAATACCATATACATGTACATATACAACACAAACACTGTGCAACATAATTATGTTTGAGCTTCCCTTTTTTCTTGAAATAAAATATTAAAGTCTTTTAGAGTTCAATGAATTCTTGTGTTAAGTTTCAAGAACACAGTGTCTAGGCCTAGTATCCGTTTACCTAACGGTAGCTGATACACAGTTTTTAGAGCACAAGATACATTATGTATTTATCTAACAGTCGTTTGTATAAAGTTTTTGTTTGAAACACAGTACCGGATATATATTATCCGTTTATCTAACGGTATTGCACATTGCCTATATGGTAAAGACGACAATTAAGTAAGCTTCATAATATCTATTTAAAGTGCGTATATATATGCATCGATATTTTTCTAGCATTGCTGCTGTCACGTATATCTATTAGTAAAGTGTTCATTTCATTATATACAGTATACGTGATATATGTATATCTGAAGATTAGAACGATATTATTTTTTCTAAAACTCTTTTATTTCCGTCGTTGAATTATTCATGATTCGAAAATAAAATAGCAATGAAAATAAACACACCGACTAGTTAATGTTATTGTCAGAATGAATGAAATCCATTGTCAGGAAAAAGCAACTGGATTAACACAGATTCGTAAGAGAGAAAATGTTTCGAATCAGAAAAGATTTAGAAGGTACTGTTAAAGACAAACAAGTTGATACAACGTTAGAATTAGGTCAAGTAGAGCACAACAATAAATTTAACTGCATCGTACAGCTGTTTCGTCTTCTAGGTCTCGTCAGTGCATGGTGCTAAGGGTCTAAATTTTAAACCTAAAAGAAATTTAACTCAAGTGATAAAAAAAATGTAAAAAATCTCGATAGAGAGGTGTCTTAATTTTAGAAGAACGTCATGTACTCGTATATTTGAATAATCTTGAACGTGCCACTATTCCGATGAATTAAGACGTAGCATGTCAGGTTGCGTTAAATCTCGGAGACTATTAGTCAAGCAGCAATATCTACCGCTTACGATTTGAAAATTGTACAAAAGACACGCAAGTGAATGTATGCAAGAGCAGTACTCGGTATAAATTGATCTTCTCTTTTACGATAAACAATCAATGTTTGTAACAAATTACTAAAACAATGCAGGTACTCATCTATATCCTCGTACAATTTATTACAATATACATCTTCTGTACTTTAAAAGAAAATATCTTCGTAGAGCCCAATTTTCGAAGTTTTACGTGGATCATTGATTTTCCAGGGTGAATTTTGATCAATTTAAACAGCCCATGGACATATGACTTTGTGGAATATGAGTACCAAAAATTTCAACGATAATGAAACTATCATGAAAATAGATTATTTAACAGTTTGCCGCTAAATTACTCGTTAGTATGCCCGATGGTTGCGTTGTTACACACATTGTTCTCATTTAGGAACGCGACATTACTTATTTAGATTGTCTTAACATAGCGGTTGTTGTCGATGAATCATTGTAAATTTTCTATTTTTGGATAGAAATATTTCTGCATTTCCAAATGACGTATTTTATTTGCGATAGTTGATTTGGATTGACCAAGATTTACATAACGGGTGTTGAAGATGAAGCAGAAGACGCTTACTTTTCCGGAACACATGTCTTAGTTTTTCCTCCCACTTTTTCAGGCGTCTGCTTGTAAATCATATTTTGCCCTGGCTTTGTTAAATTAGAGTTTGTATTTAGTTTCTGTTGTAACGTCGGTATGTTCTATGTTATTTTTTATATGATATCATAATAATGAAAAAAGAAATTAGATGTGTCTGTAAAAACTACTTATCGGTAGAATTTCAACAATTGTAAAGATACAATGATTTTTTTTTCAAAATAAATGTACACATCGCTACAAATGTTAACATAATTCGAGGGAAACTGTTTCTCATTTTTAAACTGTCACGTGGTATGTTCTTGTTCGAGATTTCCATTTTCAGGCAGTAGAAGGTTTAAATCTTCATAAGTGCTTGACATTTTGTTGTAGTCGACAGCATTTGGAAGGTCTCGTGCAGATACCAAAACCTTCATGGAAAATCTTTTCTCCTTCAAAATTGACCAGAGCGATACACTTTGGTTTATTTGATAATTATTACAAATGATTGTTATATATAATTTCTCTTTATTAAGCTATTAAGTTAAAATTAAGTATAAATTGAAATATTATTCAAAACACAAATAGGAGTCTTATGAAATGTTATTGGTTTCAATGACTTTAACTTACCAACAGAAATAAACAAGAAAACAAACGCACACGAGTCTTATTTTGTAATATATGAAAATATATATACTCATACATAACTAAGTAGCAGTATAAACAAACAAGCAGTATAACAACAACATATCACAATATGATTCCACATTGCCTTAAAACAATATCTCCAAGTAGAAGCTTAATGGTCAGCTACGGAGTTGCGATACAGCAGATTAAAGGAATCTTGCATTTTTCTCATGGACAGGAAATTCTCAGAACCAGTGAGCAAGCATTGTTCTGTATTATCTAAGACGGTTTTAAGATTTTCGTGTCCGTGGAGCACAATCATGTCTTACTATTTCTCCCACACTTGCAACATGCTTATTAACACAACAGACGTTTAATACTTGCGTTCATGGAAAACGATTCTGATAATTAAAAGCCATAACATATACAGAATGGATAAAAGAAAACGGTTAATAAAAACACTAATATCAAATATATTTTAAGCCATACAGAACATTATTTTGATATAGTTAAATTCTAAAAGTATGAAATTTTATTTTTAAAATATTCAGCTTTGACATAAAAGTTATGTTTCTTCAATGTCAGATGTAGTTTACAATCTAAATCTTTCAAAATTTCAAAAGTTTTAAAATTTCGAAAAAAAATGCGATATTATTTCTTTCGTCATCTATCAATCATTTGACTTTATATAGGAGGACAAACAGCATAAAACCTTGAACTTTAAACCATTTATGTATTACACTGGACGATAAGGACGAAAGCTAAAGCTACATCGAATGTTTTGTGTACAACATACTTGCTTTATATCAAGAGCCTTAACTTTAAGAGTGTGACAACTTGATACACACATTCCAAAGACATTTAAGTATGTAAACTTGAAAATATGCGTGATAAACCGTTCTCAAGACAACACATATATTGCCAAGTGCAAGAGGCAGGCGACAATCAGGACTTATCTTTAACAATACGTGAAGATGTATGAGGTTTGTTCAAAACCTTACATTTCAAAATGATGAATTATTTTTTAGCTCACTTGAGTCTATTCAATGGTGTCGTCCGTCGACCGTTCGTCAACTTTTCAACATAAACGACTTTTCTGAGTAGTATTTACCCAAAGACCAAGGGTACTGCTATTTTGCCAATGACTGGCACAACAAATCACAAAATACAAAACAGCTCTCAAATTAATCACATGACCAATATTTTTGGGTCACGGTATACATGCTGTAGCATGTTTTGGAAACGTTAATTTTGCAGAAATGGAAATTTACAGAACAAGTCAATCACATTAGCTCTTTTGTTCTATTGGTCTTGTTTTCATGGTATCATTTTCGCATCTGTATTACATCCACATAAAACCCATGAAAATGACTATGTAAGTATTTCAGCAACACAAATAACAAATATCATGGAGTATTTATAACGAAGGTCTCTGTAAGTAAACATTCCGTCGTTAAATCTTACATATTTCTGCACAATGTTGATAATAATAACAACAAAAGGTGTAAAAAAAACCTGCACCATTTTTTGCATTACATCCTATTATAGTAGAAAATGTTCAAATTGATGAAAGAAGATAATATAAACAAACAAACAAACAAAAAAAAAAAAAAAAAAAAAATTAGACGCTAATGGAAATTTGTCATGACGTAGGTTTCATCACATTGGTCCACTTGAATGGCAATATCTCAGTATCTCTTCCTGTGGAGTCCTGTATATAAAATTCGATGTCCACTATTTCTGAAACAGAAAAAAAAATATATAAAGATTATTGTTTGTGACGTATCGTTCGAAATATTTGCGGGGCTTTTTATATCGCGATAAGCTAAGATTCCGACACATGAAATTCCGAAAAAAAATATGCTGACAGTGGAAGAAATTTAAAAAAAAAATCATTTTTTAATAAAGAGATTTCCTGTGAATTGTAAAGGGAGATGCAACTCGATATGCAATTCATATTTACCTCAACCTCAACCAGACTTATCGTGTTCGATTGGAAATAAAGACCCCGCTATATGGTATTTCAAATGGGTCCAGATGCTTGATCAGTCTACAAATCACACTCCAAACACAAAACACTACCTGGTCGGATATCTCAAACCCTAAAATTCATAATTAAACATTGAAACGTCTATTTACAGCCAATGCCATCACTCACCGTTTCCTCTTCCGGTGTTACGGTAACAATTTTTAGCATTCTGAAAAAAAAAAAATCAGTTATAGTTATATTTTGCAGTCGGACATGTATCAAAAAGTCAGAACAATAAAAAAAGTTTTATTTACACCCTTTTTCAAGGTTTTTTTTTTATCAGATAACGAAAATAATTTCCACGAAAAAATATAAAGAATCATTACTTTGTGGTGTCGTATGCCTTGTGACATCACCAAAATGCGATATATAGATATTGTAAATTCAAATCATACATTAGAACTACAATGCATTTTCAGGAATGCTTTTAAAATATCTATATAACGTGGTGAACAGAATGACATATTTGTTTCAAATGAACAAGAAACGTACATAGGACCTTTGTACAATATCAAAGTATATATTCTACAATAACAAAACAAATCATATTTTCGCGATTTCATAACTTAGAAGTCCTTTGATACAACCAGAGTAAATCTTTAAATAATTTAAGAACATATTGTCCGGCAATACTTACTCGCTTCGGAGGTTATCCACTTTGAAAGAAAAGTGACCAAGAATGTTTTTCCTTACAGGTGTAGAGCCCGTTTGCCATGCTCCGATACCATCTTTTGTCATCAGGAAAAAATCTCTTGGTTGACCTTAAACAGATTTATCAAAATTCAAATAGAAATGGAGTTTGACTATTATTAATTAACGTTGAATTCATTGTCTTATATTGATAACTCTTGTTGGATAGGATAAAATTGTATCCTTATTCCGTCACTGTAATATGAATAGCAGACTTTGTTTCATCAATTTTTGTCCTGTGTCTTGAACCAAAAACAGATCATAGATTGATGTTTACCTTTTTTACCTTCCAATGGCCTAAGGTACTCGGTTTGGGGAAGCGTCATCTTCACCGGGTGTTTTATGTTATCGTTAGCTCTGATATAAATTACAGGCGCTGGTTTCTTGTCCTCAAACTGCCAGGAGAAAACAAAAATACAAGACATAAGTTCCTTGTATTCGGTTGTCACCTGACTAAGAAAAGAAATATAGGATATATTTTATCTTTGAAATAAATGTATACATCCTTTAAATTTTGATATTATAATATCGCTTTTGCTGCTTTAAAATCAGAACTGAAACAAATAATTGAATATTTACATAGAAATAAACACATGAAAAATAAATCATTAATTACTTTAAATGAATATTTCATAGCATTTGACCTCAAAATGAATAGATAAAGCATTTATCAAATAAATGGTATAATATTGCAAGAAGTAGAATTCACTTACTTCAACTTATAAATATTTCGAAGGATTAGAAAACAAAAACAGAACAATTAGATAATTTCTAAAACATCAATGGTATCGTTTTGTTCCAATGATGTTATAATTTTTTAGCCTAGTATTAGGAATTAACGAGACAGTGTTGACGGTTGCAGATTCAGATGACAGAGACGTATTTAGGACATTTTGCTACAGTTCGCATATTTCACGTCAAGGATCTAAAGAGGCCTAACTTTTACACTGTTTACTTTTTATGATAACTCAACTGCATGTTCGTCCTTGGTGCACCGCCAGAATACAAACGTTTTGTACCGAGTGATTTTCAGAGGGACTTATTTTCTTCCCAACATCATAGACTTTTTTCCTTACCGGCTGGATTTTCGAACCACCTTCTAGGTGTGATTAACAGCGAGATCAAATAGAAATTCGACTGTGGGTATTTCAGGTGGTCAATATTTTGTTTAAGGTATACACGTTTCTATTGAACACCTAAATAAATTCTCAGGATTTGCAGGAAATATGGATTAAATGATATTTGGATGGAAAGAATTTCTCTCCTGAGTATTTATTTACAATTAACCAATTTCAAATTATATTTGATCATTTTCAGCTGTTTAAAGTTCTCACTTGTTCAACTGTCAACTGATACAGCGTCGCCCCATGTTTCTGATTAGATTTCTGACGTCGTCAACGGCAATCCATTGCTGTTCCTTTTAAAATAATGGCACTGTCGAACATGACGTCACAAGGCATCTAACATATGTTCATGGAGATGATTGAAGGCTAGTGTATGAGCATGACGTAAAACAGTTATGAGGCATGCGGTGTTCCTTGGTCTGTCACTAAATCGGCATTTCCTCTCCAGCTGATCCCTCCCTTCACCATCACACTACTAATCGCATTGGATAAGAAATCGTCTTCATACAAGCCTTCGTTCCATTGGCGTGGGATCCATACAGCTTGACAGTAAACACGATGCCTGATAGCTCTGTTGAGTTAATCAGCACTGCCTGGCGCAGAAAGAAAGCGTTGACGTCTTGACGTTGTTGCAATAAGACAGTCCTGTCGTACCGTTGTTTTTCTAGATCGTGCAGATTGAGGACGGTCAGAAACAAATCCTGTTCGATAACTGGTCTTCAGTTGTGATATTGTTGAAGTGTGAACAAGGTAGTAAAAACCAACTTCTCTAATGCATCTACTAGAATACAACATGGACGTCGACCCATTTGATGTTAAGTCCAAACCTTCTTTGAAAATTCGATTTTACATGTGTCAAAGCTGTGTGCAATCATGCGTAAAGTGTAACGCGCCCGAAATGACAGCATGCACGTGCTTAATATACCGGTGCGCTACTTTATAGACTTATCGATTTACAAAAGATTATCACTAACACGCTATACTTACTCGATATACATATTTTCCGTAATAAAAAAATCAGTAGAAAAAAGTCTTTAACCTTAATTGCTGAGTTTTTTTTTTTTTTAAAAAACGGACCTTACCATAAACGACATTTTGCATGGCGTCTCCTCCACGACTGAATTAGGCTCTATTGTTATAGTGACTCGTTTGTCCTGATGCAAGGAAATTGATCCTCCTAACCTGGATATGACATGGTTCTCGATCGTAGCGCGGACAGACTCAAAAGGCGCCATCCACGGGTCACACTTGGCGGCAATGGCATGAGTCGGGCATGTGTTAAATTTCACGCCAATACATGGACTCTCCTGATAGAAAAAAAGTATGACAAAATTGATAATAATTCACGTTTAACTTGAAGAAGTGATTTTAACAGTATCTACTGTCCTCTTAACCTTTCTGTGAACTGTGAACTGTGAACTCACTGACAATCTAAATCGATTCAATTTTTGAAAAAAGCCCATTTAATTCAGCCCCACGAATTTGTATTTGAAAATGAGTTGTCACAGAATAGGGTGATGTAGAAATACATTCTTTTGAAAGATAAATGCATATTTCCCACACACTCAGATGCAAAAGACTGATACTGAATGGTGTTTTGTTTTTTGGAAGGAATACAGATTTACAGTACACTGAAGTATGATTAAGAAACCCAGAATGTGAAGGGCTTAGTGTAAACCGTAGGGGTATTTTTTACGGAATATCAGAATAGCGGAACATTTCTTATTTGTTTGTACGTTACCTCGTTGGATTGAAGAGATAAATATCTTTGCCATGAAATGCCGTCGTCGAAACTTGCTATAAGGTAAACTTCTCCATATGAAGCTTTTGATTTATCAATGATTTCTCGGTCAACAATTTTGACATCCACAGGACCCTGTAAAAAAAGGATAATACTAGGAGGTTAATCTTCGAGTTATTTAGATGGATATCAAAGTTACTGACAACAAACTCAATCTGTAAAAAATTGGATTAACTAACTTTGATTTTTTTATTAGAGATACAGTGTTTTGTTTACCTTCTCCGAAAGCGATTCCTTGACGTCCAGTATGAAAAGGTCACTAATAAGCTGTAAATAGGTATCCGACGGAGGGCCAACCTTTCTATTCATCTCGTTCTTCCTTATATGTCGAGCAGGGATCTCCTCCTCATCTAGAGCCTCGGCAAACATCAATGTCAACACAAACTTGTTGTTGATGTCCATATACCTGATAATACCAGTTTAGTGGAAATAAGTAGTATAGACGAAGATAACTGTTACATGGCATGCTGGAAGCAGAAGGGGGTGGGCTGAAAACGACGGGATAAGATTGGATAGGACGAGAAAGACAAAAATAATGTTACATGGCATAAAGGAAGGGACACGACAGCAATACAATACGCCAGACACCAATGTGAACATTGGGACAAAACAGAACACTACGAAAATAACGGGACAATAACGCATGCGAGTGAAGCAAAGGGACAAGATGGAGTACCAAGAGAAACAACATGACAGGACGGGAACGTGGGGGAAAAGGACGTTCTTAGTAAAATATTTCAAGATTTTGTCCACATAACATAATTCCTTTGATTAGTGATGAAAAATAAATCTATTGCAATTCAGCTATAGAGCTATGAACTTACTTACATGTAATGGGATTCTGATTCCAGAAGTCGAGATAAGCAGCGAAGCTCTCTCGATTTAATTATTTTTGTGGTCCAAATTAGACAACCTTTAACGAATTGAGCTTGTGTATAAAAGTCTTCTTTTACAAGACCCACCATCTTCTTCTGTAGATCGTTTATCTGCAATAAAATAAGTGTGCTGCACTGATAATAACTAATTCGGTTTACATTTAGAGCATATGCAACGTCGACAAAGGAAAACTCACCTCAAACGACTCTGATAGCTGACTTTCCTTGACTTTGACCTTGTTATCATTTTTAAACGTGACATTAAGTTCTTGGATTGACCAATAATTAGATGTCTAATGGTGAAGCAGAAGATGTCTACTCTTCCGGACACTTCTTTTTATTCTCGTTGTAACTTTTTCAGGAGTCTCTGTGCAAGTAATTCTTTAGTTTACACTCTTACCATAGCTCAATTGAATTTGCTTTATGATTATGTTGACATTTTGGTATTTTTTGTGTTATGTATGTTAAAAATTGTTTGTCCAGATACATCTATATTTTCCTTAATTCTGATTTTCGAAGTTGTGTTATATTTAGACGAACTTCAGTATTGATTTTTAATAACCAGAAGCAATAGTCTCGTACTGACATGACCAAAATTTATATATTAAATCATATTTGTGAGTGTAGTTGTGTGTATAACATATTTTAATAACAATTACATGTAGGTATTTGTAATTATGTATTATTAAATGACACGAATCACGGGGTGTAAACGTGCTGTAATGAAAATGTTAGAAATACCTTTTTGTCCATGGAACCCTGCTTCGTTTCGCCTGAAAAGAACACGAAAGTCATTTCGATAAAAGAAATACAAACATATTTACTGAATTGTTATTGCGTACAAATAAATAAGCATTCTCACATTTGTCAATGTAGAATTAAAAAAAACCACCTATATCATTTTTCACAATAGTTTCAGCATTCCTTTCCTGATAACACTACACTCCCACCCCTATCCTCTTACACACACACCACCACCACCACCACCACCACCACGCACACTCACACACACCACCACTCACACACACCACGCACACTCACACACACCACCACTCACACACACCACCACCACCACCACCACCACCACGCACACTCACACCGCCCATACCCTCCTCCATACACACAATCATTCATTTAAACAATGAATGTTTCATGCAAAGATTGATTGTATGGTGACAAAATTTAAAGTATGAATAGCCTTTAAGATAAGTACCTTCTTCCTCTTGTTGCCAGCTGTTTCCAGACGCAGGATGAACTTTGGTCAATCTCAGCATTTGTGCAATACTTTCGAACTTATTCCAGAAATGATTATTCAATCGCTTATTAAATTTGTATTCTCCTGCTTTGTTAACTAAGTCTGTTGCATCAGAAAATGCCAAATTCAATGTACTTATAAACAGATTCATAGTGATAAGTGTTATCATGATGGTAAAGAGTGCAAATATACATATGATACCGACGTCTTCCACATGCACATCTTGCCGGAAACTGACCATCCCTATGGTAACGCGAAACAACGACAACATGGATGCTCCAATGGAATAGTATTCCTCTTCAACATTTCCGTACATCAGATGGATAAGCATTGAGAATGCCAAAATTAGGATGCAAACTATAAAAAGAAATCCAGCCAGTTTATGTTTGGAAATAATTATAGTTGTCCTCATTAAGTGCATGTAGTAATTAAAAGACAAAGGCTCCAAAAGATCAAGTGTTGCTATGAAACAGACGGCACTGATGCATGCTTTGTACCATTCGTCCGTCACGTTCACTGTCTCGAATGACACGAATGACCCTGTAAGAAAAGGTTCATAATAACGAATATTATTTGAAAATGCGACGAACGTCAAGAAAATGAAAATTCAATGTTTTCTTTATCAAAATGAAAGAGGACATACGGGAAACCATTCAAAATCACGTCATTTCGTTTCGTTTGATTTTATTGATCTTTATGACTGATTCGATTTTTATATTTGTATATGCTTCATGATGAGTTGTATTCTTGTAACTTCTTGAGATAGACCTTCGGTAATTGAAATAAATAGATAGATAAATAAATATACGCAGTGTTTAACAGTATTACCATTTCAAAGTTTTATGGGATTTGTTTAAGTTTTTTTAGTTTTATAATACTGAAGGTAGTGCCATAAGTACGTCAGTCGGTCCAGTGTGATACACGACTTATCGCTTATGTATAATATTAAAGTTAAAAATAAAGACTTGATAAGCTAAAATCACTCAATGATGGCGAAGTAGCGAAATGTGAACCAGGATTCTCTCAGCTGCAGCAGAAAACGTTTTCATGGAATTCATGCCCCGCAAAAGTGTACATAAATGTGTGAAAGGCTACAGATACAAAGAAACTACTCTTCAAAGTTGTTTTTAATATGTACTTGTACTCTGTTATAAAATGGTTTATAGCTATCTGGTCGTCCTCAGCTATCATACCATGAAATAAAGAACTGTTTAAGACTTATAAATCCTTTCGCTGGGATGAAGATGCAGTGCGCTTTATCATATGAATTGCACCGTAGATAAACTGAATGGGTCTTTCTCTTGTCCAGAAGTTAAATAATACATATTAAACTGTGCTGTTTCAAAAACACAGGAGAATGCTACAAAAATAGTAAAATCATTACAACCCAAGTTTGAAATAATACAATATAGTGTAGTTGCAAAACTCCGACTTACCTAGATTCTTGAATATCTTTTCAATCGCTGTAATTGTTTCATCAACTCGTACGAAGAAGAATACTATGGCACAGATCCCGAATCCAACTTCTAGCACACGAATCCATCCATCGATGGTTATAAAAAATCCACATCTGCTTCTTACTATTCTAACAATTATCAAAACAAACTTGACGAAGATGATAAGTATGAATAGAACTTGTAAGGCGAGTACTATATAATCAAATGGTTGTTGGAAAGGATACAGATTTGCTGTTGTGATCTTAAAGGCCATACTTAATTTTCCGAAACTTGATAATTCGAAGATAACTTTGACGTGTGAGAAAAGCTTTGAATCAGGGTTATAAAGCATCAATTCCACAAATATCGCTCTTGTATACAGGTCAATCCATGAATTGTTTCTTAGTGTCTGCATGTACAACGCAGCACTGGACCGCTTTGGTCCTATGTCCAATACGTAACCTCCTCCACCATATGTCCCAAAAACCCCTTGATAAGGCAAGGCTTCTGTTTCAGTTGCATCTTTATAAAGAAAGGCGTAGTCTATCTCCTCATTTTCGTCAAAACACGTCACATTGTTTGGAACCCATCCTGTAGCAAAGAGATGGAGGTAAACTAATATCACATAAACAAACTGTTAACTTAACGCTGAAAGCTTCAAAATGGAGCTCAACATTAAATAACAACAATAAATAAATAAATAAATAAACACCGACACCCACAAAATATAAAAAGTTCTGTCAAAAAAACATCTTATTCGTCTTAACATAAACATAAAGAATGTAATCACGCCAAATGCATAAATTTCCTTAATACATAAACACTCGCAACACTAACGAACGTATACTTTCATTTCATAAAAGGCAGCTAAGGCATTAGCTTAATTGATGTATCGGAAACACTATACAAGATATTTTTATTGTCAAATTTTTTGTTCAATAGATATACGAGTTATTTCCCTTGATTTTTTTTCCAAAAATAACTAAGAGTTATGTCCCTTGAATTAGAGGGTCATCGGTCATCTGATTGGTCAGTTACTTTCGCGCGGATGCTGAGACCCCTCTCATAACGCAGCCATCTTTAATTGTATCAATACGTAGTTCAATTAGTGGAGTGGATTTGCATTTGTTATGCAAAATTTACCCACCCACTTCCACCCTATTGTCTGTTCTATAGTAACGTTATTTATCATCAGCAATTGTGGCGGTTTTTTCGTTAACCCCACATTGGCTTTTTATAATAATTACTAAAAAATAATCTTTTGTTCATTTTACGGTTTTTGTAACTGTAAGATATGTTTTTAATTTCATAAATAAATACTAAGTCACCCTCTCTGTAAGGGTGGCCTTTTTCATTCATACTCATTGTTGTGTCGTTTCTTGTCGTAGTGTGCAGATACATAAATACATGTTTTGGGGACGTGTAGAAAAACGTAATAGAGTCATAAAGCTTAATTTTTGTTCTGTTGTAACGCACTATGAACAACTACGTCGGTCCAATGACTCACGATTGTGTGGGCTGATAATGGAAACTGATGTTTGGCGATCATTTTTTTGCAAATTAACCAAATATATATACTAGATGTTTATGTATATATGAATTCTGATTAAAGAATTGCGCGAGAAAAGAATTCCAAACACTTAGCTTAAGTTTGTATAATAAAGTATGTTTATAAATATATGTCGCAATATTTTGAAAAAAAAATGTGTAAATAAACATTCAATATGTCAAGATACATAAGCGATATGCAGATACAAATACAGTAAATATCATCAGAGAGTGAGATACGGAAATTTATCGAGTAGTATTATTTGAATGATGTTGATTACGTACCTTTACAGTAGTCTTCTTTAGCTTCCGTGTCAGCATCATAGCTGATAGGACATCTGGTAACGGAGCTTTTCATGACACCAGGTATAAAACATGACTCTGAAGATATAATACAGGAATATATGACCTCGTAAATTAATTTGTCAATGTGTTACACAAAATATACATGAAAAAAAAAATGATAATAGCAATTCCTTAAATGTTATTTTCGTTCCATTACATAATAATGTTGTTTTCTTTTAATACCAAAATATCATCTTTGAATGTTTAAAAGAAAAATCACGATTTTCAAGAGAAAGGTCATACCATACTCTCTTCCCGGAAATATAACAATTAACATCAAACCTTAGCCATGTTGTCTTTTCCAAACAAACTTTTATTTATTAAATTCTTAAAAGCAATATCAACATTTCAAAACGAAGTCGTTTTCTGTAAAGTAGCTTTTGATTGGCTAGAAGCGCAGTACTATGACTTCTTACGTGAAGACTTCGTTAAAAGATTAACCATGGTTTCTTCTTCAGTGACCTTTTAGGTTTTGGAGTCATGATTCGAAATAACAAAGTACATTTATAAAACACACCACGGTTTATTGAGAGTGCAGCAAAGGTTTTGGTCCCATAACTAAGATATCGAACTTGAACTTAATTGAGCAATCACAATCAAATGTTCGATAACTGATAAATTATCTAAATAAAAAAAACAACACGAGGCGTTACATTTATATTGAATACTGCCAAGTTATTGATGATGGGTTGAGTTTGATCAAATTGAACTTACAAGACTAAAATATTGATCACTGTTAAAAAGTGTGAAAATATACTGGCTTCCTCACTTATGAACAAGTCAGTCTTTGGGACTAATTTACATGGGCCTAGAAATTGGCGTGATAAGAGAGATATCAGGATGATTGTCAGCACTTTTTCCATTCTTTCAATTAAAGATGTATTCAAATTTTGCATATATAAACTGACGAAAACGAGGCTAACAGGTAACAGACACGACGACATGATACAATAATATAAAGACATCCATTAATTGTAAGTTAGTAATAATTATCATACAAATGAGTAAAATATAAAAATAAGAGATAGAAAGACTAAACAAAAAGAAGAAATTAGAGAAAGTTTCCCAGTTTACATAATTGTCATTATGAAAAGTTATTTTTTCGGTGATAGATAACTTACGGGTGTCAAACCAGGGTAACACGAAAGGTTCACTCTTTTGGGTGACACGAACTTGACGTATCCTTGCTAATCCCAACCGGAAATGTTGCGTATCGTCAATGAATCGTAAGATGTACGAAAAACGCACTTCATTATTCAGGTACAGCTTTGGAAATGTCTTTATAATAAACTTGTTTTCAATCCAATCCCATATGTCGTTTGTAGTATTCAGCTATAAGTAACAACAAAGAATGTTTTATGATATATATGAACTAAACGCTACTAGTCTGTTCTGATTGCTGAAGTAAGTTATACATTCTTTACCATTTATGATTAACACATTATTTGAAGTATCAGGAGAAAAAAAGGGAAAAAAACCCGAAATGGCAACATAATCAAAATCCAAAGTCAACTTCATTAACAATATGGCACAATATGAGCAAAAGAAAGATATACACGGAAAATCCTGGAAAAATCAAGGAGAAATTTTTAGGTAAAAACTCCAAAGAAAACATCATGGTTACGAAAGGTTTCACTGACCACGTGATATCATGAAGATGAGGATGACAACGAGAGGACAGTATTCAGATACAGAAGTTTTGTCCTTGCTAACTTTCATAATGAATAAAATTTTCTTTTGTCACGTTCTCAAATGGGAACAGCTTTACAGCGGAACAAACAGGCAAACACGGCCTGCTTCATATCACACAAAGAAAAAGAGTTATTTGCAAAAAGTTGGAGAGCAGAAAAGTTTATAGAAAGTAACCGATGATTAATAATCATATAAAAATGAAATGCTAACTATTCTAACCTACCATTCTTATTGTGAATGGGGGAAAACGTGTCATTGAAGGATGTATACAAATAGACAAACATATTTTTGAAAAGGTCTTTATGCTATATATTTTAGGTATAAACTCCAAAGAAAATATTATCATGGTAATAGAATGTTTCCTGACTACGGGATATCATGAATATGGGATGACAACGAGAGTAAAGTGTTCAGATGCAAGAGTTTTGTCCTTGCAAACTTTCATAATCTTTAAAAGTATTCTATGTATTTGATTATTCTTTTTTACCTTTTCCTTTAAGAACATTCACCTTATTTTATTTGAAATAACACAGTAAGCATTAAAAAAATGCTGTTCTGTCAAATGATTATCATAAATGTCAATTTGAAAAAAAAAACCGCAATAATGGAACAGATCTTGCATTTATAGTACTATATTCCTAATTTCTGTTTCTGTTAACAGAGAGTAAAGCAAATTGAATGATAAGATAAAAGCAGCATAAAAATAGATGAATGAAACTCACATCATCTATTTCTATTTCTGACAGCACTATCAAATTTTCTTACCATCTTCCAGGATAACGATGATTTTAGATGTGTGTTTTGGTAATACGCATCTTCAACGACGTTTTGTGAGCAGATGGTGGCAACTAATAAGACATAAAGAAACTGTACAATCCAGTTTTTAAACAATGTGTATAACTTCTTGTCTAACTGTAAACGTCGCTTAAGTCGCTTGGTTTCAACGGACGAATCGTCAGCGGTATCAGCTGGACAAATGACTGTGGGGTCCACCCCAACGTAACATCTCTCAAGGTTCTCCAAGTCATCAGCTAAAAAGGCAAACAGACGGATGAGTTTAGTGGAGAGTGGTTAAGCTTATTTTAAATTGCAGTGGAATGATTGAAAAGAATGATTGAAGTAGGTCGTGTCGTCCCGACTTAGCCACATTCCGAGTGGTTTACATCAATAGAAGTTTGAATAAATAGAGAGATGAACAAAACAAATTGAATTGATAATATTTTCCCCTATACATTCCAACATCAGCTGGAGACTCTTTAGCTGATTGTGTGGCCGTCACCGTTTTTTATATAAAAATCTTAATTTAAAAAAATAAAAGGAAACGAGATAAAATCGAAATGTAATCAAAAGACATGCTTGAGAGTGATTGATTTTTGAAAAATGATTGTCAATTCCATTTCATAACACATTTAATTAGATATAAGTCATATGGCTTTATTTATGCATTCAATTATATTTATTGAAATGAATATGAAATTAAATTCCCTATCATTGCGAAATTGTGATACTGTAAAATTGTTTATTCTTTTCCCTCTGACTCCGTATAAATCTCTTGTGTGTATTTTGCACTGGTTCAATTGGGTTTTGGATTCTTGTGGCTTGTAAGTATTTTCTTTGTTGTTTTCCTGGACAGTGACTTTTATTCTACTGAATGCTAGTGTCTTATATATGCATTATACACACACCACAATGATCATGTCTATCTTTCTACACTGGCTTCTAATTTACTGCTAACGTTATAGAGAAGTAGTTCTACTTGTTTGCATATTGATACAATTGCTAAAACTCGCAATATGGAAATATTTTTAAAGAGAATTCTATTAAATTATAATATCTATTTGTATATAAACGGAAGACAAAGCGAATAACCTATTGCAAAATAATATGAAACACCGATGCTGGCGCTCCTATATAAAATAACGTGATCAGACTATAGTGGTAAATATTGATAAAATTTGTTGAGAGTTTCTCCAGATACGACACTGAGATTCGGAAGGGGAAGCGACAGGACGGGACGGAACGGAAGGACAATGATAATACTATCGCCACATGCCCTATATTAAATAGAAGGAGCATAACGAAAGCAAAGGAAATATATCTACCTTCTTCCATGTTTTTCGCAGAAGGAAACGGCAGATCTGCTAGCGTCTGTTGTGCATTTCGTGAGCAGCAGCACGCTAATATCACGGCAAGAGCAACCGCCTGTTACAATAAAGCCGACATATGGTGTAATACAGTACAAGAGTAGGCTAAAAGAGAACTAATGTCATAAAATGGATCTGTTATGGTCCGCTAATCACTGAAAATGATTTGATTCAAAAGTTTTCCTTCATTTAAGAAGTGTTGTGTTACAAAATGGCTACTGAACATTTTGTATGACATCTCTCCAGTAGACCAACCTGATGTCAGAAATAAGCATAGAATTGTTATGTTTGATACAGTCTTATGTTTGGAATATATTGTAAAATATACAATTAAATCATGTGTTTGTGACTTGGATAAACCTGTATATGTTTACATTTAAATCAAATATATATATTTCGTTCAGCCAAAATGTTGAAACGAGATCAGTAAGTTATGATATCAAAACCACATTCCATAACAATGAGAGTTTTTTACAACTGAGTTAACATACCATGTAATGATACAGGATATGTATTCATATGAATACTAAATTCATTTTTAACAAAGAATTTCATTTGAGCCCCTTTACGAACCGAGTCATTTGTAGTATCAATAATAGTTATGTGGGGTAGTTACTCTCTGATTACTGAAATATAGAGGGTCAGTTGGATTAATGGGGACGCTGTGAAGACTTGTAGAATGCAACTGCAAATGCTTACTGGAAAAATAATAGCTTTACCTTGAATGGTTCAAGCACGAAGACACTCTGTACAGTCCCCAGGAAGAAAGCCAACAGCCACTCTACAGTAAGATCTTTGCCCCAGTCTAAAGAATACATGAAGGTGAAATACCCACCAGATCCTAAACATCCAAGTATCAGCGAATAACCGATGAATATAGTCCACCAGGGTAGAGAAAGAGGGCCTGAGCAACACCTTACACAGCAACCGCAGCAGCATGACTTTTTCTTCGGCGGTTCTTCTGTGATTATATGCTCGCCCTTAAGTCGTCTGTGTTTGAAGATGTTAACAATGACCATACTCGGTATAACTGCAATGGCGGCAGACACGAAACCAACATAGAACTGTTTGTAGCTGAATTTAAGTGGTCCAAGAGTTATGACTCGTCCTCCTTCATTCGGGGTATTGTAAAATATGGCCGATGCAACCATGGAAAGAAACAAAAGGGCAGTGATGGACCAGAGTCTTTGAACACGGGTGAATCGACTGTAATTCGGACGTTTGGACAGAGAAAACCACAAGTGTTCATCAAACATGTTTCGTTTGCTTGTTTCATTGAGGAGCATCTGACTGTCCATCAACTGTTCGTTCAGAGCGTCCATTTTCTTCCATGATCTTCCGTCGTCGGCAACGAGTGAAAGCCATTTTCCACAGGCGAATGCATACCTAACGAAAATAATGTTATGGTATATAAGAAATGTCATGACATCCATTTTTCATATAATTAAACAGATGTATAACAAAATTTATTTACCGCATGATTCAACGTCATCGAGTTATCGTATGATCCAGTTGAGTTTAAAGATGGTCTTATCTTTTAAAACGTCTCCCTAGTAAGATTTGAAAACTGGAATACCATATCTTTCTTGTAAATAATTATGAGTATCGTCTTCCGCTTATTTCCATTTTCAAACTTTGGCAAAGGGCCTGTTTCCAGTAATGTTAATTCTCCATAGGAGCCTGCCCCCGTATAATTTCTTATCTAGCTTAACTACTGTTTTTTTCTTTTCCGAAAAATAATTTTAACACCCAGATTTCATAATTTCAGTGAAAATGTGTTTTTATAAAGTTGTCAACTTCAGCATCAAAGACATAAGTTCGTAAATAAAAGAAGGTTATCTTGAAATTGTAATTCGCAACATAGTATAAATTTCTTTTGATAAATATTTCCAAAACATCGTGTTTATTCATAAAACATAAAAAAAAATATATTCTCGGATGAAAATGCACTTGCAGAGACACAATTATGAAGAAAAATGCCATAAATTTGCAATTTTCTCCCGTTATATAGTTTTGGATGCAAATTTCCATCAGAAAATCGGATAGAGCTTTACTTGTTTCATATGTGCACCAAAAATCAGCTAATTCCATGTGGTGGAACGTTCTCATATCGCCGCCTGAATGTGGTTGTTAATTGAAAGAAAAGGGGAAATGAGTAACAACCTTGTCTGAAACCCTATTATATAGCTTATTATATACAAACTTTTATATTGAATATCAGAGTGGATATTTTCATGACAGTTTTATGATGTGTAACGACTAAATAAATAGTATCGATATAAAGATTTACACTGAGGACACCCTGATACATGAATACTGTTCTATCTCAAGCTGTCCTCTTCTGAATTTTCTGATCGTGTGGCCTTGTACATTTATCCGTATCTTCTTGTCTTTGTCTATACGTTTACGAAATCATTCGACGCTAGCTATTCTTGTGTCAATTTCCTTGTTTTATTGTCCCATCTCCAAAGCGTTGTGGCTCTGTCAGGGTTGGGACCCTGACTTGTCTCACTTTCTTTGTGTCTGCCGACCACGCCACATCGAATAGATAGATTATCCATATGAAATACTTTATTTTGTTCTAAGTAATCAATCAATTCTGCGCTTCTTGGAGGTATTGAATGTGATTTATTATATTGTCTTGTTATTTTGTGTAATTAGTTGTTCGTTATTTATCACACATTTTCGCATAATTGTACCAAACTACTAAGTATTAGCTGTTTACAGCAATCATCGGTGGCTTGCTATTTTGTTACTTTATCGACGCTTCATAAACCAATCGTTACTGTTTCAAGATGGAGGGTAAATGTGTTGGAGAAGAGTGTCAAGTATACTTCAAGAAACGTAGTGGCAATAAGAACAGAAGTGCACGCAATGTAAATAGTCCACAATATAAATGGCTCCTAGATACGCTGGTGCAACAAGGATTGATGTCAGCAAAGGAACAAGCATTTATTTGCCAGAAGTGCTACATGAAGTATCTTCGGAACAAAAATCAGCCTGAACCTGAACCCGAGCAGAACCAGGAAATAGAGGAAGAAGACGACTCCCCGTCCCATATCCTGCCGTTGCTGACCCTTCATGATCTTTTGAATGGATCATCTTCACACAAAAAATGCTGTCTCTGTCTTGCTACCTTTCCAAAAAATGAAACAAAATCATCAGTCTTACCAAAACGTGCAAGACATCACCTGATCTATTCACACAAACTGTGGTGTCCCACCTCATCCCGCGTCTGCTCCATTCACCTTCTTGGTAACGACTTAGATCCGTCTACAGAGGTTGTCCTTGATGGTAGAGGTTCCTTGGAATCTTAGTTACCATCAAAATCGTCCGAAATCATTAATGTCCTCCTAGAGGTGTCGCACGTCCTTTCACAGAACCAGTCTGCGTTTACAATAAGCTTTTCTTCTCTTGATGACTCGACATGCATGGCCTGGACAAGTTGGTCCAAAGATAGTTCCTCGAAATCCACTCCCACTGTTCCCCATATCTTTCATCTGGTATATATACCAAGACTACACACGATGCTCTATTACTGTTCTGGGTATAACTGAAAACCTGACATTTCCTGGAGTCAGTGTTCTTCTCTTTTTGGAATTTCCAAGTCAAGTGTGTCCAAAACTTTCCACTCCATAGTACAGGCATTAGACACATCGATAGTCCCACAATTTCTAGGTCCGGATCACTTGACAAGAGAACAATTGCTCGGGCACAATACTGTCTTTTCAGAAGCATTTTTTGGAGATAAAGCCACTGCCATATTAGATGGCACCTATATCTATATCCAGAAAAAGCTCCGACCACAAGCTCCAGAGAATGTCCTACTGTGGCCAGAAGAAGAGAAACTATGTCAAATTCATGAGCATCGCCATACCAGATAGCTACATTCTGGACACCGTAGGACCATTCACTGGCAGCGAAAATGATGCTACAATTACAAAAAAAGTCATGGACAAGCTAGTTACTTGGCTACAACCAGACGACAACGTTGTCGTTGACCGAGGTTTTAGAGATGTCCTACCAGTTCTCGAAGCCTCTGGCCTCAATGCTAGCATGCCGTCATACCTGAAACCCGGTCAAAGTCAACATTCTGACGTCCAAGCAAATCTTGACAGAACTATCACCAAATCGAGGTGGATTGTGGAATCCTATCATGGTCGTCTGAAACACTGGACGTTCCTCCGAACGCAATTGGTGTCTAGCAGCTTTATCAATGTCATTGAGGCTTTGCTTCGAACCGTCACAGCCTGTCTGAATGGTATCAGAGGACCGATCTACCAGAGATCTCCAGAGAGAGATGCCAAAGATAGGCTAATGGCTGAACGTATGAAGGACCGTTTGACAACACCGAATGGTTTAACTCAGAGAGTCAAGATAGATCCGGATCTATCTAGACGGGCAAGGTCCGAGTTTGTCAAGATGGGTGCATCTTCCGTACCGTTTCCCCGTCTCGATCTTGATTACTTGAGAACCATTACGTGTGGAACGTATCAGATATCTCTGGCTCCTGGTTACATCGCCGAACATTTAAGTGATGACGGAGACTATGAGGTGTGGCTTTACCAGCACTCCCCAGACCTTCTCCGATGTCAAATACATTCTCGACACAAAAGCCAAACGAAATATAACGTTTGGATACGGTTCACCGTTTCACCTGATGTTGAGGCCCCAATAAAGGACTACTACTGCCAGTGCCCAGTTGGAGAGAGAACGATGGGAATGTGTGCGCATAAATCCAGTATCTTGTACTACCTTGGGTATTACAGGACGCTGGAAAACCCTCGACCATTACAACCACAGGTAAAGAAATTCCGACAAAACTTGAAATAGTTTTCCATGCGGCAACGGAGTGCATATGTCGAAAGTATGTTTGGGGCTCGATATGAAAGATCCCCGTTACCATGTGACTAACCAAACTTATCAATATAGGTATTATACAATCGCCCGTAGCTATGAACACTCCCGTAAATGCGAAAACCAACCAAAATCATAAGGAACACGTTTTGTTTGTTGTTCTGTCTATTTGTCAGCCAATGTCTTCAACCACGAGGACTTGTGAAGTAGCCATCTTGGATGTTTTTAAGAAAAAGTGTTTCTCTCACTTTTTTTCATATCTGTGTACATATTCTCAACATACCGAGCAAATACTCTCGTTTTTTTGTTAATTATCTAAAGAAAGTCGAAAATCGGCAATTCAACCATAGGCTAATTCAACCCAACATTTGAAAATGTTCCACCACTTACATTTTGATGATTTTCCTCTCATCAATAGCATATTACGTACTATTTAATAGGATAAAAATTGGTTTGCATCCAACGCCCATAAAAAGGTGTATTCTCCAAAAAAACACAGTTTTTGTGTCTAAAATGTTATCATCGAAAATTACATTTTTGAGATTATTTCTTCTATAAAACAGCCAAATGGCGCGATGGAAACATGATTTTTTGTCACAATCATGCCATGAATGTATTCTTTACGGTGACTATCATTTGATTAGATTTTCATTAATATTTTACATAACATGCACATTTTATCAACACTTAGACAGCTTCTGAAAGGTGCAACTTTAAGGAGCCATAAAAAACAAACCAAGTAACCTAAATCTTTATACTTTGTAGATTTGTGACCACAACGGCATGGGCAATGCACCACCAACAGGAAATTTGAATCACAGAAGTGGCCGTTTTGGAAACCGGCCCTTTTTTTCTTTTCATTTTATATATTTCTGGACGTCACCCTGAAAAAAACTCACTGATCTGCTCCTTTTGTTTTGAATGTCTCGTCACATATTACGACTTTAAAAAACACAGCTTCACAGAAAAAAACACATTAGAATTTGGGATAGTTATTGCTCACAAAATGGCAGGAAATTGCTTTTCAAAACATCACACTGTAATTTCTTTACCAGACTAATGTATAGATTTTTACATAGAAGTGATCGGGTTTGTCCTTTTGCTTATAAAATAGCTTGGTTTCTCATATAGATATAAGGTTACTAGGTTTCTTATGTTATTACTACCTTCTCTTATTTTTGATGTCACCGATCACGATTTTACTGAGTAACCAAGCAGGGGAGGGTCCCTCATTATCATGCCACACTACTAGGTTCTTCAGATGGCCGAGCTGGGTAGTTGTCTTCATCAAAAAATGGGACGTTGTCCCTCTTCCAAAATTCTGCATTCGAAAAACACATCGCGTCAATATTTATTCTGTTTGATTGTTTCAAGTAAACACATGATAGTAAAATGAAATATAAAAACCCAAGCAACCTCAGCTTTCTCGATCATAGAACGATCTTAACTTGGGTTTCATGCATGTTATAACTAATACTGGTATGCTGGAGGACATCTGCTACTGAACTTCCCCTTTCTCTATAGAATCAATCATGTTTACTAGTCCTGCTATATTTATATTTCACATTTGATTTTTCATTTTTTTATAAGTGGGTATAATTTTTCCTTTGGTAAACTTAACCTTGACCTATAAACTGACCTTTCGTATTCCATCTGTTAGTTTGCGGATACCCGTTTCTCCTTTATCCCCAACTACCTTCAGATATACTGTGGAAGACAGGTATTTTGAAGATCGCATGGCGGTTGATACTGCTAAGAAATATGTATGTTGCGCACCGGGCATGTTATCTTCTAAGGGCAGGTAACTCCACTTGAAAATATCATAGTTGATTGATATATATATATATGCAAATTTCCGTAGTTAATGACATCAAACCTGATTACTATATAATCATATATTTTCTTGGGGTTCCAATTACGTCGTTTCCAGATGGATACTTTTTCATGACACTTGAATTACGTGCCAATCGTGAAAAACATCTATATTAACTGTTTTATCGTTTCATGATCATATGAATTTGTTTATTTAGGTTACAAAAATAAAATCACACAAATCTTAATGATTTTATAGTATAAACTTGTTTTAAATATGATGTGCATTATATGTCTGATATTTCAAACACAAAAAAACGTTGTAAGGTCATTTACATGTTCAACACTTTAAAAACACGTATTTATGTGCTGCACAAGGAAAAAACATTTATAATAAGGAAAATCAGAAAACAACTAGCGTCTTTATCGTTCAAAATGAGGATCGAACATCCTTTCAAACAGATCATGTTTTATCTACAACGTTAATCTTTAATACATGGACTGGGACACCCTGAAAATAAGCATCCCAGGGAAAATGTTGAAGGTCAAGGTCAACAGATCTATCGTTGTCAGTTAACTTACAAATAAATAATTATACAAATAAATAAAGATAACATGTGGAAACTCAAGGTCGACACTAAGTTCCTATATTTACCAGAACAGCGTCCCCTTTGTCCAGGCGGCGTAGAGGGATGGCGATAAGGACGACTATTATCCAAATACCACATATACAAGCCAATGCATGTGGAGTCTCCCTCAGCCTCTCCTCGAAGTTAAGGAAGATTGCAGAAAAGTCAATAGTGTCTGGGGCAACAAACATGATGTTGGCCGAAAATGTTCCAAAGAAGTTGCTCTCGTAGGCAATATTAGTCCCGGTTCCGGAAGAAAGCTAAGAAAGAGGGTAGATATCATTTATATAATGAAAACTCTCTAGTCATGCTTAGTAATAACCAAAATAACAACAAAAATATTGACATGCCAACATAATCTTAATTGAATATCGAATTCAATGACACGACGGCAAAATAAGAACAAAAAGCAGATAAATAAGACCAGGTGTATCGGCAAAAGACAGATTTTCCTGATTCATCGACGGCATCCGCCATATTAATACCGGCAAAGACAGGTAAGTAATGTCACGTTCTCAAATAAAAAGAAAGTAAACAAAAACAAAAAAACATTAAGTATACTAACAGATATCAGACACGTTCAGCTTCAAATCACGTAGAAACAGATTATTGAACTTGTGGATATAGAACATGGTGACCACAAAAATGTCACATAATCCTCACCAAGTACAACAAAATATTTCTAACGCGATAATCTACATGATTATTTAATTAATGACATTGTTAACAATATATGTACGGCATATCCCAAACATCACATTACAATGATATATATCTATAAAACAAACTCTGGAAGTAAACAAAATTTGAAGTGTTTTTTGAAAGTTATTTATTAATGTTGCATCTAATTACAATATTGATTAAAACATCAACACTATTTTTTAATTTCACATTTCTTGAACATTTTTTTCCTGATCGGTACCGGTTTAATACACACAAACAGCATATATGCATACATCTCCACTGTCATTACAGTGACATTTTTGTTCTTACCTCAAATTAAGTGATTCATATTGGATGCAATATTAATATTGATTTCTAAAAATGTAAAATTACATCATTTCAACTACAAAATGATTTATATTCGTTTCGTAGTCCCTAGATAAAGCGAACACAATCCACTGTTTGCATTTATTGAATGCATTTAGGTATGCACAAGAACAAGACGTTTATTTATTGTGTCTAAGAGTATATGAATTGTCACCTCCCTATTCGTGATATAAACATGATCTTATAGATGAAAAAAACTTTTTGTAATGATATGGTAATTGCTAATTATTATGAATAAAAGCATTAGTTAAAAAAAATTTCACCTTAACATATGAAGTTACGCCATTGAATGATACCCTGCGATGCAAGTACAGAAACCAAAAACAAAATCATAAAAAACGAAAACCAAAAACAATGAAAATATACACAAACAGGAATTTTTCGATAAAATCTCGAAAGTGCTGTGCATTGAAATTTTACGTTTCAATCTAGAAAAATTTCAATTTAATAAAAAAATCGAAGGAGGTTACGGTAACATTGTCATAATTTTTATTTTATGCACATGTTTATTGGATTCAATTGATTTTCTATTCATTCCATTGTTTCGGGATTTTTATTATAGCAGACAAAGAATTAAGAATTGTTTTATCAACGCCTGAAATAATAGGATTTTCTTGTAGTCATTTTTCAAAGTCAAAATGCATGTTCCAAGGCTATAAAAAGCCTTTGGAAAATTTCACATCAACATTGGCTGTTAATTTCTTCATTGCAATGCCTAATGGATAACAGTTGTCATTCAAACATGTTTCTAAAACCTTGCTGACAATAGTAACGATTTTTTTTTTTTTTTTTTTTTATGTTGAATATTATTATCGTAGCGTGTTAATTAAGTCATAATTTCAAGTTTGAATGACATGATTGCAGCTTGTACAGTATGACATATAACTCACCTTTATGTCCTCACTGACCGCCCATAAGGCTGTTCCGGGATCAAATCTCCTTAAGTCTACTTCTACAATACGGTATCTGTGGGGATCGACAAGTCCTGCAGGTGCCAGCGCTAGGACAAAAATATAAACCTGAATGATACTTTATGTCTCATTTGATTAGTATGATAGAAAATAAAACGATATTTAGACAATATGCTGTTACGTTTTTAACCCAATAAAGTTATGAATTTCACTATCATTGCTGTCCGGGTTTAGTTTTGAATAGACGAATCATTGTAACGAATGATTTTCAGGTGTGATCTGCATTCATTTAGTCTTAATATCAAACAGAAAGTAACAAATTTAAAAAAATGAGAGAAAACAAGAATCATCCGGAATGTGGTTGTCTCCCCTTATGTCATACATGATAATATATATCTCTTTGACCAATATTACTTTTACCATAACAAGAGAAAAAATGTAAATCCTTTCAACATCGAGTATAACTTCTTAATCAGTTTTCAATTATAAGTGAATAAATAAATAATGATATAAAAGATATGATGAGGATCGAATGCATTTTTTTCCAATAAATAATCACTATGTATTATTTTAATACATGATGTGTATCTAAATACGCTAACATTCATAATGTTGAAACTGAAAATATACCCTACTTGATGCGGCAGGGTTAGCTGAGCGTCTCCTACGAGTGAGACTGCCATCTGTCAGGGAGTAAGAAAAGTTCCAGATATTAGGATGATACTATAAGATGGATTGTGGTAATTAATTTAGGAACAATTATTAAAAACATCAACAATTAAAATGAAATGACATATGACATAATATGCTATAAATTGTTTTAATTCGGCTTATATCAAACGAATTATATTCTATTTGTCACATTCTTGTTTTCGGCAATGAAATTATTTTTCTCGTACTGAGAAAATCCTGTGGCGTCATTTTGTATGAGTTACGTAATTAAAAAGGAGTTTTGTAATTTTAATTACGATGTCGTCTTATTAACCTGATAGAGATAATTCATGTATGTCAGACCCGACTCTGAGTGCAGCACAAGAATTATTGTATACCTTCACACTTGACCATCATGAGAATTGGTTTTACTAAGGCCTCCCCTTCTTCTTTGTAAGTGTGGGCAATTTGTAGTGTCTGATCATCGAAGGTTAAAATGAGATCATCTGGCCGTTTCATTATAATCTTGCTGAAGCCTTTAGTTTCTACTCTAATATCGAAGTCATCTTCAGTAGGGAAAACTTCTTTTCCAAACTTTCCCAGTGTGACGCATATCTTCGTACTCTTCAGCTCGATGTCGATGGTAAACCCCACAATGCTGTAGTTAAAAGCTATGATAGCATTAAAAGCGCCATTCGTAGTTTTAGAAGGTTCCATTTCTATCCACTTAATATTTGTATTGAGGGCGTCTTTTGCTTCCGCGCGGAGACCCACAGGGTCCTCCGGATCAGGCAAGGTAACATTTTCACCCTTCTTGTCAACGATGGCCATCTTGATAATGCCGGTGTTGATGGAGTCAGTGTTGTTGGCAAATATGTAAGGACTGTATTGATATGTTACTACCTAGAAAGGGAAAACAGACATAAAAAGCTATATCACCAAATCATAAACAGACACAAAATTTCATATTTATCAATCACATCACACGCGTTGTTATCCATAGCGTATGGCTGTAAAAGCTATCACTTTAAATTTTTCAATTGTTTGCAGTTTTACTAGAATGTTTTAGAAGAAAAGACAATTTTTTTCAAGGAAGATGCCAAACGGAATAACTTCCCTTTACCTTCATTTGCATTGTATTTTTTTAAAAAGCTTAAATTTGACAATTGTCTTCCAAGGTATTGGGCACGTTCTCTGGTTCCCCACGAAACAGAACGCAACAGCAATCCGCAACAATTTATGATGTCTCTTTCAGCATCTTACGTATACAAAACTATGGTATTATCATAACAAATTTGCAATGGGCAATTGAAAGACGTAATGTGTACCTATCCCGTGGCAGTAAGATCTACAACTAGGAACTAAATAATAATAGACCTACTAAACGATTACATGACACTTCTTTAAACATGTTTAGTTTGTTTATTATTATGTCTTACTAACATTCATGGTCATTTTGGGACATGTAAGGTTTGAGTATTGGAGGAAAGCCGGAGTTCCCGGAGAAAAAACATCGACTTTTGGCTAGTACCTTGCCACTGCCTCTATAAACATAACTCACCACCACGTTGGTTTCCTTGCCCTTAATGGTCTCCTGGAAGGTTTCCCAATAAGGCAATAAAAACTTGCCATAACTCGCCTCTATAGTGGCAGGTAGCTTATCACCCTTGTCTTTTGCAACCGCCACCGAAATGTCGAAATACGTATACAAGTCCTTGCGAGACTTCGATTTGTCGTTAATCAACATCAGTTTCAACATGTCAACCATGGATGATTCAGAAACCATGATAACACCTTCAGCCTAAGTAATGTAAAGCAATCATTGTTTTCATTATCAAAGAAGTACAGGTTGTATAGAAGAATAAAATTTTCGCGAATTTACTAAAAGCAAATAGCGCTGGCAATCTTATTTTGCACCCATTTCGCGAGATTCTATTCAATGCCCTAACTATATGCAAAGGGAAAACTCCCAAAACAACAATTTTAAACAATGACAAAACATCAACAGAGTGTTATGTAAGTACAATAAAACGAAAAAAGGTATTAAAATAGATTCGAATCAAATCGAAGTGCATAATTTCCAATGACGTCATTAAGCACCGAGTTATGACCTACCTCGGTAGTGGCATTGATGCATCCTGTGGACGTGCTGGTGATATTGACATTGGAACAACTGAGAGTTTGGCAAAATCGATGAAGCCTACTCGTGAGGAACACATATCCTGAAAATAGAATATATTTGCTTTATTTGCTGAATAATAAGATTTTGCTTTAATAACATCCGATAGTTGCATCATTGATATTTTAAACTTGGTTACGAGCCTTTTCTCTCTGTCCCTGGCTGGTGTATATATAGTATTTCCAATTTATTGAGTTACTGGCTACGTCACAATGCGCTGACAATAAGATGGCGATCCACTTTTGAGATAGGGAGGTATCAGTTTATGACCATCAGACGAATTGCAACACAAAACACTATAAAGACTTCAAAGACAATATACTTACTTTCACCAACATCATCTATGTTCTTGTCACCTTTTTTTATGTTCTCTTTTCCAAATTTGACCATCTTTTCCATAATAGTTGGTATTATCATCTAGTCACAAAAGAAATTCATACAGCAGTTGTGTTGTCTCGCAAGTGTATAATACACCTACTATTACCTGTATTGGTGAGATTTTTAAGTAATTCAGTCAAACATATGAAAGAGATACATACCTTGCAGACGCAATTTATTGGCAATCTCACGGCAGATAGCACATACCTAGTAGATGTATTTAATTGTTTACCACCTCATGCTCGATTTCAGCAAACAAATTTGATGGTACGTTCACTGCATAACGATACCATTCAATAAACCCTTTATTATTGACCTCCACGAGGTAGAATTGAGTATACAAACTAGACAAAGTGATATGTTGACCACCTTAAGGTGATCGAATCTATTGTTAATAGCTATCGTAGCTTTGAAATATAAAAATAGAAACCTTAATGGAGATTTATATGAAGTTTACAGATTTTTTGCCAATAAATATGGAGTTAAGAAATCCATTGACTCGTACACATGTGCCCTTGTCATGATGATGTAATTCGTTAATCTTAACCTTAGATTGCCCTCAGATAAATTATATCAATAAAAGCATTTACATAATTATATAATCAAAGAAAAATGAAGGCTCTGTGTGTAACTCACCACACTTTGATAGAGTTCCTCGTAGACCTGCCTAATTTGGTCAATGATGGCATCATTCACCTGCATAGTGATGTTATGGACATACTTGAATTCATCCTCTACGAGAATCCCTTGCTCTGCCACAGTATTTATTTCAACAATGATATCTAAAATATACAAAAAATAAACTTGAAAATTAAAAGCATTTAAGGGCCTAAACATGACTGTCGAGCCCTAGAAGGACGAAACAGCTATATGTTGCAGTTCATAAGTTGACTCTGCTGTATCTTATTCTGAATTTGAGTTGAAATGGTCTGTTCCCTTGTTTGTCTTTCATTGACTCCTTTAGGCATTAAAATAAATTAAAGTGGTGTCATTTCTTCCTTTGATTATTGTCTGTATCTGATGATAATTCATCGTGGTGTATGGAGCCAATATAGACAGCACGAAAGAAATATTCTCCTTTATGAAATTAGAACAATTTTCATGCCTGTGTCAAAGAAATTATCAATGCAACAGTAGTGTTTTCGCTTTAGAGTCTCTAATATTTTTTAAGCAAAAATAATGAAACTTTTAGAAATAAATATTATTCAACCAAAAAAACAGAACAAAGTATATTTTGACCAGCATCACGATATATAAAAAAGTGTCATCTAAACCTGTGAATAATTGATAAAAAAAGCTTTATGAATTACAATGGTTGACATTTGTTTGTTTGAACTAGAATACTCTTTGTTTTCAAACTGTGCAACACCTAATTGCGAAAATCACAACTTTCAATAAAGTGTTTTTTGTGGTTCTCATTTGGAGACGTGACTTGGATTGATCAAGCTTAACATGTCGTCGATGAATCAGAATTCTTCTTGTATGTTGACGAATCTCTATGTAAATATTTCTTTTATTCTAATTTTGATATCATTTTATCGGACTTGTAATTGAATTTATGATCTATGAACTTTTTTGTTAAGACAAATTATCTTAATCTAAAGACAACTGTAACAAGCGAATGAACAATAAATCTGATCATGGAATTTAACATGTTAACATTGTATACAGGTCAAACACAAGATATCTTAAACTGATGGCTCTGCAAATCTCTATGCGTCTTATGCTATATTAAAATGAAACATAGAATATAAGATTTTAAGAAGTGAATATAAAAAAACTATTTCAGTAAGCATACTATAAATAAACGTTAATCATGGAATGATGATAGAAAAAATGAAAGCTTATGATAAATCATTAATCCATCGGTATAAGAAATATGAGTTAATCATATTTTTATGAATTGAAACGTGAATAGAAATTGAAATATTGACTATGAAGCGGCAAAATTTTCAGTAAGCATTAACTTACTGTCAGTGCACATGAGTCCTGTAAAACCAGCAGTGCAGTTACATTCGTCAAGTACATCCGGATTATCAGTAACCCGGTCAATGGTACAGGAGGCTTCATGTTCACATCCTAGTGGAATGCACTCTGAAAAAATAAAATACGAACTCTTAGTCTAAAAAAAATTCAAAAGCTTAACCATAAATATTGTGGTATGAAAGGCATCTGGATGAAAAGACAGATATGTAAGTTTTTTACATGCCTTTAAAAGTTTGCAAATGATGGCCTAGCTTCAACACACAGATCGATGCATCTGATACCAATTAGACGTGTAGGTGGCTCCTGGTCCTTAGCATTACCGGTGTGATTATGGGACTGCCATAAAAACAAGATGGCCGATAGGCAGCCATCTTGGATGTTGACAGGAAAGTTTGTTACCTGTATTCCTTTAAGCACTGGATAGATTTTGTAACATACCGAATTCATGTTCTTAATCCCTAATTATGCCCTTAGATTTTGGAACTGATAAACAAAATGGCCGACGGGCGGCCATTTTTTATTTGTCAGCCAACTTTTAAAGAATATATTAAGACAAAAAAATGGTGGGTGAGAAGATCTCTTTCGGATTTCTTGTTTATTGATAAGTTATATTTTATCTCATGCTGGAATGGAAACTTTTTTATTTCTCATTCGATAATCTAAATAACTGTTATTTATCAAAGAACATTATCCTCTTTTCATTTACATAATAGCTCACAGCTTCCGATGTGTTAATCTATTATGTTTCAGGAATATACCATATGAAAACCTGCATGCATATATAAGGGGAGATACAAGATATATCAAATTGATCTCTTGCACTGAGCAACCAGATACAATTTTCGCTTTGGTATCATACCCCCGCCGGTTCTGTTCAAGAAGATGTTTATAAACTTCTTCCAGAGAAAAGAAATGCATAATTCTTGTTTTAAATATCCCTAACTATTGGGCTAAATGCACGCAAAATTAATCTTTTCCCTCTATATCATATTAAGTTATCAGAAGGTGTGATGAATTCAATGCAACAAAAAGGGGTTAATCCAGATAATTTCCATTTAATCTGCATAAAAAACGAAATTTAAAAAAAAAAAAAAAAAAAAAAAACATTTTAACATTGATTGATAATAAATATGAATAATATAATAAACCTCACAAAATTTATCTTATTTATTTTATGACGTAATAGTATTGTGCAATACAAGTAATCATGGACGGAATAGAATAGTTCTAGGATTAAGATTTCAACATTTCCCAAACTCCCCGCATTGGAAGTGTGTTGCTATACTTTCAACTACTAACGACGTATAGCTTAAAAATGGCTCTGTGATTACAGACATATTCTGTATTGATACGACAAAGCACAAAGAATATTGAAATTGATAAGGTGTATGCTTACAATACAATCAATTTTCCTTGGAAACATTAATCATATAATGCCCATTACCTGGAATGTGTGAAATCAACTTTGACGCACTTATTAGGCCTACATTGAATAATGTAATTAGTTGTTAATGTAATAATATTGATGGCTCTTTTAATTACGTAATAGAATAGTATTTGTTAAAACTGTTTAGAGTCAGAATACAAATAAACCATGTATCATGTAACAACTGAGTGGGGGCATACATCGGGAAACATTCAATTGAAAATAATTATCTTGTAACACTACGCCAGGTTTTTCATATAATGTTCATAGTGCATGTCAGGTGTTGTAATGGCGATAAACGTAATGATAGACACTTGTCATTTCCGCTTTTTTCCCTCTTTTTTTTTACGTATTTCGAATTAGGAACAGATAGGACGTGTCTGAAATATCAGACCCGTTTCCGGTCATCGCAGACCAACTCACAAAACCCTTAACTGATTAAAATGTATTGTAACAGATGGTTAAGAGAACACTGTCCCTTTTTATTTAAAAGTGCACAGAAGTATATACAGTGGGGTCAAACAATGACTTAGACTGCATCATACAGCTGTGCCGTCCTTCTAGGTCTAGTGTAAATCATTGGGTATTGGTTATCTCATGACATTACTGAGTATTCAATGCAATTATAAATTTTGTGTTGTTTCTAAAAACACTGTAATGAAGTCCACTTGTATGAAAAAAAATTGTAATCCATTTTACTCTGACTGACTGTTAATTCCTTATTAATAATATGGTGACCAGCATTCGTTTTCCATTAACACTTCATATGTGTTGGCAAATAACAAAATAGAATTGAAATGTACATTATAAAAATCTTTTTTATCCCAGAAAAACATAAATATTATACCAAAAATATTAATAATAGTTTTAATTGTTTCAAAAGAAAAGTAACAAGCCAAACTGCAGCGGATGATATAATCTGCAATCGACTTGGGATCCTGTTGTATATGAATTGGACTTTCCATTTACATTTAAAATTGTCAAATTATATATCTCGACATTGGTTAAGTAAACTTTGGGAAAAACTGTTTGCAAATTGTTGTTCATAATACTGATGTATATCCTATATATAGATCAAAATCGTGTATGGTAGTCAGGTTAAATATCCGTATATAGACAATTCCAACTGATATTGCTTAAACAGCGCTCAGCAGGAGCAAATAGATTGATTATATGATAATTTAACTTAATTTCAATGCAAGAATTGCCAGTTTTTTAGAGCACAAGTTCTAATCTAAACAGTAAAGTTATGTTTTGATATTTTTTCAAATAACCTTAAATAAAACCTTAAGTTATATAACATGAATTGATTTAGAAGTGTTATTGGTATATTCTACATTTATTTATAAAACCGTACGTTTATTTTAGCACGGAAAGCAATTTCTAATGACAGGGAAATCAATCCTGTTTGTCTGCCTGTCTGTCTGTCTGTCTGTATACTAATAACAGGTTATCCGTTCGTACATATGGACTGCCAAAATATCAACATATTCCTTTGAATATATTGTATTCAAAAGGCAATTAATGTTTATTGACAATTAACATGGGTCTGTACACCGGGGCTAGAGCGGACACGGATTTTATGGTCCTGCAGGTAATA